TTCCATTCCAAATTATTATTATTTTTAATTTACTAATGCCATGTCTGCGTATGAATTCATATGTACTATGCTTCTGCGTGTATTTGTTTATCAATTCTTGTCTGTCAATATTTACTCCTGTCTTCTCTCAATCTACGTACAAGACAAAAATTAATACCCCACAATTCAATAAAATAACTGTGCACTGGTTTCAGCCCATGTTGGAGACTTGGAGCTTCATTATTTGGGAAGGAATGCATTTTTGAATTATAAATTAATGAAAAGTGTGTGTTTGAAAAATAAAGAAAAATTTTGAATTTACGTTAATATTATTTTATTAAAAAAATGTGTAATTAAAAAAAAAGAAAAAAAATACATTTTGAAAATAATGGAAAAAAAAATGTCATATTTCTTGAAGACTTGAACCATTAGATCATGTTACATGTACCAAATTTTTTAAATGAATCTTTTACCTACTACTCACAATGGGGACGAGGACCACATTGTCAGAATTGTTAAATACACGCGGGCCTCGCGCATTATGTGAGAGTGAATAATCCATTGTACACAAACCATTATGTACAAATTGATTAACACTTGCTCTTTTGGAGGTTTTCTATATTTCATTCTTCATATCACATCAGCACGCCATTCAATAAAAGAAAATGTGGAATTTCGCCATCGGGGTATAGCTCAGTGGTGCAAATGACAGGAGTGAGGTAGTTTCGGCTGAGTTGACAGCCGCAGTGTGAGGGTTCGATTCCTACCTTTTACAAGGTATGAAATTCGACTTTTTGTGGGCACCAGTATGGTAGCTCTTGTACCCTGACCTGCTGATACACATCCCGAGATTTACCTCATCCATAATGCTCTAGGGGTGGGGACGGTGGAGGACTATCAAGATTGGGGTTCAATTTTTGTTTTTTTAATAAAAGAAAATGTGGATAATTATGTGTAATGGTTTTATACTCTTGCACGTGTACTTATGTTTGCTGAAGCAGTATTTATCGTTCAATTAATTATTACGTTTCATTCTTTTAATATGTAGTATTATTTATGAATTCAATACTCTTATATTTGTCTATCATAAAATTATTATTGTTCCAGAAGTAACACAATATTATAATCAATATTTTAAAAGAGTGTTGATATATTGTTCTTGAAAAAGCAAATATATAGCTCCTGAAGAGCTAATATTTCGAAATAATAGTTCGTTGTTGTCCTCTAAGTAGCACAACATCATAATTAATGTTTTAGAAGAACATTACTTGCTCCTGAATAGCCTGAATATTATAATTTTCGATATTCTAGAAGAGGATTGATATATTACTCTTGAAAAAGTAATAATAAAATATAATGTATTCTTGAAGTAACACATTATAATTCTCATTAATATTCTAGTTAGATTTTACTTGCTCTCGAAGAGCATAATAATATAAAATCTAAAATAAATTATGTTTCTATTCTTGAAGATTAAATCCTTACATAATTTATTATTCTAAACAATAATATATTATCACTCCTGAGGAGCTCATTATTATTGTTATTTTGTAATTAAATACGATTTAGACATTTAAATATTTGACAAGAATATTGCATAATTGTTTGAATCAACTACTACAAATCGATATTTTTGAAAAATATTTGTTGCTCTAAAAGAAGCACATTTTTATATTTATTAATATTCTTAAATAATATTATACGATTATTTTTTAAGAATCATAACTTAGACATTTAATGTAAAAATTGTTTTGATTCTGAATAATTGAAATTTTAATTAATTACTTTGAAAGAAGCAATAGTTTATTTATATTATCATTCCTGAAAAATATTATTTTGAGACTCTAGAATAGTCAATATTGTGTGATACGAAGGAATAAACTTATTATTTTTAGTAATTTACTTTCCACTTAATTAAAAAAAACCTATAAATTTTGTAATAGTGTTTTTTAATTGGTACACTAAATTAACTTTTAGTGACCATATTGAAAAAAAATATTGTTTTGAGCCAAAAGTTCAATAACTCTTATAGTTAAATAGTTTGGCATGTTTAGTTAGATCATCACTTGATCAATAATGATGGAAAATTGAGAATTCGAATATTCGATGAAGAATCGAAAGATTTTCCAATCCAATGAACTCCTATATAATTTTTGTCGACAATTGATCATTAGACATCACTAGCTAAATAATGATTGAATTCTCTATATTTCTTAAAATTAATTAGGGTGATAAATGGACATCGTTACCCTCTATGTAAACCATCTAGATATTATATGTATCTAATAGATTTGATACATCTACTAGATAATTGCACAGTGATAGCAATCTAAAGTTTGCGAAATTACTGTTCAAATTTTAAATTATGAGCATAATTTCGAATTATACAATCAAGACAGTTTGTCTTGTTAATACTAGTGATCTTAAGTCTCAACATTTTGATAAGTGCAATTTTTTTTATACATATACAGTTCATGCATTACATAAATAATTATGCCTAGACTCTGAAGACTATTGTTACGTCTCGCCACCAAAGCTCAAGTCAAAATGCCAGGTAGCAAATCATGTGGGTAGAAAAGTCAACAAAGATCCAATGGTCAGAGATAAATCATAGAATGGTTGAAGCTCTTACGCAAGCACTACAAAAAGAAATGGAAGAAGCTGACACTCTTCACATAGATGACCCACACTAAGATTCCTCTGAGGCCCTTAATTCACTCGAAGCTTATAAAACAGAAGTTGTCTCTTACAAGATCCTTAAACAATCTTTAGAAATGATTGATGTAATATTTGTAATAAAGAATATCAGGTGTGTCAACCCATTATATAGGGTGGCTAACCCATTGTCAATATATTTATTATATGATAGATAGTGATGTAAAGCCTCAGTCGAGGAGATGAGGCCACGTGATATGTCGAAGGTTGTTGAAGGTTGAGATATCTCAATTAGTTATGTAATTATGGGAAAAGAAATAGAATCGAAAAAGAAAATAATGAATTGTCAACAACACTTTTACACATGATGTTTGCATCATATAGCGATGAATCGAGATAAATGCTTTGAAATATATCGATCGAAGTAATAATTGTCCTAATAAAAACGACGCAATTCTAAATAGAAATTACTACAGAAACCCAAAACCCGAAATCCTAATAATCTAAAGATGAATACTTATGCGAAAAGGAAACAAGA